GCATGTGCGGGAGGCAATAGATGTGTCTCTTTCACATGAATGTTTCTCTGTCTCTCTTTTTCCCTTCCCATTCCTCCCTCCTTTCTACTCTCTCTCAAAATCAGTGGAAAAAAATATTTCAGTTGAGAGTTAACAGAAATAAAATAATAAAAAAAAAACAAAAGAAAAGCCAAATATATAAGTATTTATAAAAAGATAAAATAATGAAGTGGAGCTCTTCAATTTAATTTGAAAGATGCATGCGCTCTAATCTTTCCATTCTGCGGGTTCAGAAGAAACAGATTTTCTATTGATTTTCTATTGCTTTACAATTGCATAATTAACTCACTTTAAATAGGTAATTTGAAAAGAGGGGTGTTTGCTCTGCTAGGATCATCATTTCTAGCCCTCTCAAACTTTGCTGAGGCCTTGGATGAGACCTTGGGACATGATATAAAACACACAGCCTCTTTGTTTTTATTTAATTCCTGTTGTTCTTGTTGTTTTAGGAAATGTGTTTTCCCTTTTGAAATAAAAAAATAATAGGTTATTACAGATTCTCATATGGTGCTTAGGCCCATTTTAGCAATGTACAGGAGAAGTGTCAAACAGGCTTTCTTTGATCAATTTTGCTTAAAGGAATGAAAAAAGGGAAACATTCTCCTCACAAATTGTCAAACACCAAAAGTAGAGAATGTGGACCAAAGAATAGCTCAGTTTAAAAATAAGACTTTAAAGCATTGTTGCTATTATAACTCTAAAGATCAAAATCTTTTTAATACCTTACTCAAATGTCAATTTTCATTTTTAAATTATGCTTTTGATTTGGTGGCATAATGCCTGACGCATAGGCCAACAAGTAATGTTTGTTTAGTTAAAAAGAAATTTTAATACATCTCTCTTACATCATGCATCTTTTGGTATTTTCATGATTAGCTATTCGCTTAGGAGCGTCATATCCAAAATGGAAACCGCGCTAAAGTTCTTACAGAATCTGTACTTGTTCTGAATGGTCATGTGATTATACTAACTCCCCTGGGAGAGAATCTGCAGATATTTAAAATACTGTCTTTTATGAAGAATAGTCAGTAAATTTGTTTTTATGGAGTTATATTTGGTTTACCATTTGTTAATGAAAAGAATATTTTTATTTCAAGTTTTTGGGAGGTTTTTTGGCCTGGAAAAAAATGTATTCTATAAATTCTAAATGTGGTTGAATGAAAGAAAAAGTGTGCTCATGGTAAGCAGAAATGTGTGTTATTTCTTGGGGAACAGTGACACTTATTTTCCTTTCGAGGGACATCTTTGTCTTAGAGAAAATGTATTTTATTCTCATGCTTTGAGACTGCAGAGTGTTGACCAGCCTTTTTCTCTTTGATCTTTGCTTTTTTTCTCTTAGTGTGGCCGTCACCAGGTCCAGAGATGTGCCTTCCTTTGGACCTCCCATCCCCAAAGGGGTCACTTTCCCTAAGTCAAATGTGTTCAGGGACTTCCTTCTGGCCAAAGTGATAAATGCAGAAAACGCTGCTCACAAATCAGAAAAGTTCCGGGCCATGGCGACTCGGACGCGCCAGGAATACCTGAAGGATCTGGCCGAAAAGAATGTCACCAATACTTCTATTGACCCCTCTGGCAAATTCCCGTTCATCTCTCTGGCCTCCAAGAAGAAGGAAAAGTCTAAGCCGTACCCAGGAGCTGAGCTGAGCAGCATGGGGGCCATTGTGTGGGCCATCCGCGCTAAGGACTACACCAACGCCATGGAAATAGACTGCCTTCTTGGGGTCTCCAATGAGTTCATCGTCCTCATCGAACAGGAAACAAAGAGCGTGGTTTTCAACTGCTCCTGCAGAGACGTGATAGGGTGGACTTCAACTGACACCAGCCTCAAAATCTTCTACGAGCGAGGAGAATGTGTCTCGGTGGAGAGTTTCACTAACAATGAGGATATCAAGGAGATTGTCAGAAGGTTGCAGGTGAGTCTTTCCTCCCATAACCCACGTGCAGTTTCCCTTTGACAAAACTTCCAGGACGGACCAGAGCCAAGTCACTGAGGCTCATGCTTTTATCAGCTCCTCTGCAAACCCCCTTGACAATGTGAAGTGACACCAAGTTTACCTGACAGTCATTCTCCATCATTTTCAGAAAGAAAAGCAGTAGGACAGGGAAAGACACACTTACTGTGTGTGTTGGAAACCATGGTGTGGTCCCACCGCCTTGGTGACCAATGATGTAGCCCAGCCAATCTGCGTTCATTGTTGAAAGAATTGTTTGGGTATCTGCTGCCTTGAATGTTTTTAAGGACAAAATAAGTAGCAGAATATGGTTTCTCTTGGCTGCCAGCTCCCTGTGGGTCTCTGTTAGAGGTTTCCTTGTCACTTTGGTGAAGCTATTGAGTTCTTTGGATGCAACAAATATGTTCCTTTTGGCCTAATGAATGGAGACCAGTGAAGGGGAAACAACCAGACTGCTCTTCAGCTGGCAGCAGAGTATTCAGGAGTGACCCTGTTTGCAGTGTACTGCCAGTTCCTGTCCACACTTAATCCTGTTTCATTAAACCAGGCTGTCTTTTATTTCCTTGTCTAGTTTGTGTCAAAAGGCTGTGAGTCCGTGGAGATGACTCTGCGAAGGAATGGGCTAGGGCAGCTTGGCTTCCATGTCAACTACGAGGGCATCGTGGCGGATGTGGAGCCCTACGGCTACGCCTGGCAGGCAGGGCTGAGGCAGGGCAGCCGGCTGGTGGAGATCTGCAAGGTGGCGGTGGCCACTCTGAGCCATGAGCAGATGATCGATCTCCTGAGGACGTCCGTCACGGTGAAGGTCGTCATTATCCCCCCGCATGATGACTGCACCCCACGGAGGTAGGTCTGCCTGGACAGCTGAGCCTGAGGGTCCGGGGCTGGGTCTGTGTGCCGTGTGGAAGGTCTCCTGGGTAGGGGAGTAGGGTGCTGTGGGAGCACTAGGTTACATGCGATGCTGCAAGTTCCATCCACGGCAAGTCTGATTCCGGACAGCTCCCTCTCGGCATGTGGCAGCAGCAGCTGGAAAGAATGACTCACTTGGACCGTTCCCAGGATTTACATCTCTCAATTTATGAAGTTGCTGTTCCAGATAGAGAAGTCTGGTAATAGCATCTCAAACATCTTGCACCAGTAGCTGAGAACCAGTGCACACTTCACAGCAGAAGGGCTCAGCATCGCAAGCTGTCAGGCTTCTTCCTTTTATGTTGTGTGACACTCATTCTTAGGAATCTCTCATTTGTACCCAGTTGCCGTCCAAAACTCAAAAGTGCTGTTTCGACCCGGCTATCTCAGCCTGGAGGGCTGAACGTGACTGACCAGGCTTTTTCTTAACTGCATCCGTGTGTCAGGAATTGGCTGCAGATGAGCCGATCCTGCTGTCGGTTCTTTGGCAGTTGGTTCCAGCCTTTCCCCAAAGGGAAGCCCGGGAGCTCCCGCCCTCCCAGCTCCCGCCAAGCCAGCAGCGCTGGTGAAAATTCAATCTCTCTGTCTCTGGGGAGGTTTCTTGATGGAACAAATTTAATCAACTGTTACTTTTCTCCTTTGGGCACACACATGGTATTTTTGCTAGTTTGGTTTTTTTCAATCTGTTAATTTGCTTTGAACCCATTATTTTCTAAGAGTTTCTCTTAATATACATTCTTTATCGATCTCTCCTCCACCCCAAAATATGGTCTGCACCTGCACTCTCACAGATGCGTGAACATCAGCTGGTAAATTATATGAACAGTTATGATGGGTCATTGATGTCTTTAAAAATAGGCAGCAATGACAACCTAAATGTACTTCAGTTCTTCAAACCAAACATTGCAGGCCAGACTGTGATAGTATTTCTTAATACTGCTTCCCTCCTGGATGGTCTAGAGCAGCAATCACCAACTGGTGGTCCATGAGATCCAAAAGGTTGGCGACCGCTGGTCTAGAGAGTATGTACCTCTGTGAAAATACGGTGAAATCCCTTTGTCTGACCGCTTTAAGAAATGCTCCATTTTGCCCAGTTGGTGTGGCTCAGTGATTGAACATTGGCCTATGAACCCAGAGGTCTTCCATTCCTTCCTGGTCAGGGCACATGTCCAGGTTGCAGGATCAATCCCCAGTGTGGGGTGTTCCAATCCCCAGTAGGGTTCATGCAAGAGGCAGCTGATCGATGTTTCTCTCTCATCAATGTTTCTATCTCTCCATCCCTTCCCTTCCTCTCTAAAAAAAAAAAAAATCAAAACATTTTTTAAAAAAGAAAGAAATGCTCCGTTTTGGATGATTAGGTTTCTCTTAGAAACCAAAATATATATCCAGAACTTTTTATTTCAGCTATTTATTTTGTGGGGAGGGGCGTAAATATTCTGAAACTGCCTTGCACACGTATCCTGCCTTTGAGTGAGCCAGGTCTTCTCTGGCTTCTTCAAGCACATCATCATTGAGGGTCGGCATTCTGCTGAACTGGGACTCGAGGCGGCTCTTGGGGTACATCAGAAAGGCAGTGAGGGTCCTGCAAGCTCTCCAGCTGCTCTGGGCTCCTCCCCTTGCTTGTTTGTCTTCTGTCCCTTGATCTCTTCTCTAGACTGCCTACTTTATTGTCTCTGAGCAGGCAGCCATAAACTGGAGAAGATAATCAAGCTTTGTGACTTGTCCACCTTAATTACACACGGTACAGCTATCACTGCTGGTCCGAGGACCAATCTCCTCAAAAGGAAGCCTGTAGGTCTCTCGATGCCACCTTGTTTGCTCAGAGATCTTTCCCCTTGTTTCTAGTCCCCAGTTTGTATTGGGGGCAGGAGAGGGAAACAGGTGTGTGAGGACACAGGATGGAGTGGGAACATTGCTGGCATGGGTTGTAGATAGTGACTAGAAATATGGGTCCATGATAGGAGGTGGCTTATGTACTGTGACATACCAGGCTAGCAATGTCTTCTGCGGTGTGTTGGTAAAAACAACGTTGGCTAGTATTTAATATGCCAGGTCCTGGAAGAGCACTTTCATATGGATTAGTACATTTAGTCTTTATAACAACCTTGTGAGATAAATACCATTAATATTTTTTTCTATTTAAAGGAAACAAAGACTCAGAAAGGTTAGTAACTTCTTAAGGTCATCATTAAGTTTTGCCTGAGAATCCAAGCTCTTAACTGCTACTTTGTATGCTCACCGGGAAGGGGGGCGGAGGGGGGGAGTACAAACCTTTCTTCACACACCAGTATAAGCAGGGACTTGTTGGTGACCTGGCTTTCTGTGGGGGAAAAGAGCTTTGGTTTGGAACATTTGCTGATTCCTGTGGTGTAAATACTCTCACAGCGGCCAATTTCAAGCTACTAGCTTGACCCCTCTGAACACAGAGTTGGGATACAGGCTCACAGTTCACACTTGCAAACCAGGACAGGCAGCTCCCACCCATCCCTGAATGAATGAGCCGTATCTGTCCCAACACTGCTTCTCAGTCACTAGCTCATCCTCTCCTAGCCAGGGAGCTCTGGTGGTGACATGACCGAGGGCGTCAGGGTGTGGAGTGGGAGGGAGGCTGGGTGGAGGGTGCACGTACTGCACAGCCCAGAGGCCCCAGACTTACTCCGCTCCTTTCACTACAGTTTCCACCCAAAATGCCCCTGCCAGACCCTCCAAGCAGGTGAGTCGTGGTGCCGTCGATGTCTGTGCAGGACTGCAAGCCCTGCTTGCCCCACCCTCCCTTAGACCAACTTCAAAGGAGCAGTAGAAGCAGTAACACCTTGCTATGATTTTTAGCAAAATAAGATAATTCTCTTCTGTCGTTTTTCTCCTTCTCCTCCGCACTTCACACTCCCACTGCTGTTTTCCCAGCGACTAATGAATCTCTT